GTTGTAGCTTCTCCTTGGCGTACGTCATCATGTTTTAACGCTTTAAATTGTTGTTCCATCGGCTTTATACGCTTAGCAAGATCGACTGTTTTCAATGATATATATGATGTGCGTCCTTGCAAAAGTTGTAATTCATTCAATGATATTTTTCCGTATTGGAGTCAATCGGTATGAGACTTAATTGTAAGCCAACTCCTGTTCTATTCTTGTTGTTATATTTGCAATAGAGTCATCTACAATTTTTTTGTTGCCATACTGTTTACCAGAAGTAGGCGGATTTCTCGAAATAAACTCTGTTATTTGATCTGTTTTTGCTGTTATTTTTTTTAAATCAATCACTGAAGTATCTACGTATTTTTAGTTGCCGCATCTGATTATCTGTGGGATCTTTTATATTACACCAACTTTACGTTCTTGAAGTCAACATTTCCATCAGAAGTATGGGGTAGTGTAACTTTGGCGGTGTACGCATATACGGAAGTGTCTTTTGTTTATCAAAGCGACGTCCGAATTTATCAAGACTCATCGTGTAAATGAAAGACCAAGGAACTAGATTACTGTATTATATTAGCTTCTTTTAGCTCGTTGAGGATGGCTACTATTTCATTATCATGCGACGTATTGCCAGCTTCCTGAGATGCCATAAGGAGTATAAGTCGATCGATTAATTCATTGGGATCATCCCAGTACCACGTATTCGATTGGTTCCTCGTTGTATGTCAATTAATCACCGATACCTTTTCTGTTGGCGGTTTTGATGTTGATGATGTTGTTGTTGTTGTTGTGTTGTTGTTGAGGGAGGGATCTTGTTAATGATCGACTAAGTGGACTACGTATTTTTGTAGATGTTGATCGTGTGACAATTGTACTTTATTTTTCTGCACATCTTTAAAGAGAGGCTTAATAATGTGATTATATTTAAATCCTGTCGAACCTTTTAGGCGTCCAAGCGAATCTAAATGAACACCGGTACTTTGCAATAGATTTTTATAGGGTTGTAAATCTGCATCTGCATAGTTTGGGTCATTATAGAATAAAAGTTGATACAGCCCAGGTGTGCCACGAAACCATGTACCTGCTAAGTTTGTCCCCTCAGGTAATATCTGTATTTGGCCAGTCGCTCTATCAAATTTAATTCGGCGTTTACCTAACATCCAACCAATGTTGTCGGTATATATAGGTCCATAATTTTTATCAATTTTATCGTTTTGTGTCCAAAAATCTTGTAAATAATTATGGCTTATTGGGGGATATTGATCTAAGTATTCTTCTATTGCTTCTTGTGAAAAATCAGCAGGACGCATTTCTTCAGGTAGTGGTGGTGTTTCAGGTCTCGGCGGTATATTACCTTGTTCATCAGTTGAAGCCACGTCTTCTAAATTGAGATAGTTTGGGTTCTGTGTGAATACATCATCATCATCATCATCATCCTGTTTCAATTTTTCCTCTTTTTTAATAATAAATGAAGGATGCTGCTGAGTCTTAGCTATTTGCTTAAGAGGTTCAGATATTGGTTTGAAAAGTTTTCTAATAGATTCATCTTCTGCAGTTCGACCTAACTTTAAAGTAAGATACTTTTTACGTATAGCTCGAGCAAGTTCTGCGATCTTTCTTTTATGACTAGCAACGGCAACTTGGTCCTTTGACATCATGTTACTGAATGATGGCGTACATGATAAGCCTACAATTTTATGTACTTATCAAATCCTACTCTGTATCGACCATAATTAAGAGGAAAGTCTTTAACAATAACTAACGTACCGTACTTTTCTGCCCAACATTCCGAACACATCTTTTTGAATTCATCAAAAGTAACATCTGGAGATACATGCTCATCAAATATATGTTT